CAATTTTGTTTGCCCTAGCTAGGTTTAAATTGTATAACCAGCACTCAATTGCTGGATAGCCACTGGTCTGGCTGACCTTGGCAGCACGACAGCTGCCATATTTTCACATGGATGAACTGTTCTTGAACAGCTTCTCCAATGTATCAGGAACAAACAAGCTTTTCTTCAGCATTAGGAATGCAGCAGGTCTTCTTTCCAACTATTTTTTTCTCCTTCCACAGATATATTTATTGTGGCAGTGGCAAGAAAATCCTACTGCTCAGCCCTCGTGTTTGAGTTTCTTTAAATTTCCTTCAGGGGAATGACAGAAAAGCCAACCTAGATCATGTCAGAGCTTGCTTTCTTTAATTTAACTCTTAGTTCATTTTTAATAAACATGGATATTAATTTGTAGTGGCAAGAAAGTAGGAGGGCAAAGTCCTTTTACAGCTTTATTGCTAATATTTCCATTTCTGTTGTATTTGTTTAGTTTAAATCACCGTGGTAGTTAGCAGTGACAAAGAGCGGGATGCTGCTGGAGAGCTTATTGCACAAACCCAAAGGGTTTGCAGTGTGATGGACAAAATGGCAGGTGATGATGAATGGCAGGGAGTATTTTACACAAATGGAGTGACCTCCAGCTGGTAGTGTGCTTGCTAGATCCTTCAGGTGAACAAGGGGCTCAGAGGATGAAAGGAGCAGGAGCAAGTTGGTGTCAGGACTGTGGACAAATAGTGACGTGGGAAGGCAGCGGGGGCAACTGGGGAGCTAAGACTGGGCTGGGGTAAGAGTCCATCACTAGCAGAAAGTAGAGGGTAATGGTGAAAGCACAGTTCTGCTGACACCAAAACCTTTTCGGAAATGCAGCAGTTTTGTTAGAAAAAAATTCTTGATCTCCAAAAAGGAATTTTCTGTCAAGTTTCTATCAGGTTGTGAGAAAAGGAGAGAACACTCCCAAAAGAACCAATAGCACATTTGCTAGACCTTCTACCTGGTAGACAGAAGTTCAAGTTAATTTTTGGGTCTGATTCAGACTGGAGATTTGTATTTAACTGATGGTTGTATTTCTGCACGGGTCCTTGCAGTTACTTAGAGATTTGTAGTAGTACAGTGCCATGGCATTGATTAACTGCTCAGCAACTTCACTCCTGGAGTACTATTTGCAGCCTGCACTGAGCTGCATCTCGTCACACCTAACTGTAGTCTAAAACTAACTGGTTTTCCCCTGGACTGCAGTCTCATACCCTCCAACCGTGTCTCTGTGGGTTAAGAGGTGAAGCGTGGAGTTCTTTGATTTAATAGCAATGTAAGTTGGTAAATCCAGGTGCTTTGTAAAAGTTTGCATGTTTCTGGACCTGAACTGATTCGCATGGAGCTGGCTCATGTTTCTCTGCTCCGTCTGCACCAATGCTCTTCGCACCAGGGGTGTTAGTAGTCAGGAAGGGAGTCAGAAAATGTGTTTTGTTTGATTCGTGCAAAAAAAATAAACCTTCAGTGGCAGCAAGAAGTATAATTGATGACTGAGTCTTGTGTGGCAGAAAAGCTGGTGTTCAGCAGTCACATAAATTTGGAGAGAGAGGTAAATCTGAATATTTTATTGACACTGCTGTATTTTGTATATTTTTTTTCATCTTCGGAATGAATTTCAGACCCCGGTGGTTAGTTTAATGCTATATATCCTCTGTGGTTAGTATTAATGCTATACAGCCCTGCCAAATGGGGAGAAATTTAGAACTGAAAAAAATAACCCACTGTGAAGAAGTTAGATGCAAACAAACAGGGATGGATGTTTACGCTTACAAAGGGCTCAGCTCTGTTGGCACTTCTCCTGGGCCAGTCCCGTCAGTCCAAATCTGAAATATATGCAGAGTGAAGTGTTGCTAATGAGCAAGGCTGGCAGGACCGGACTCAAGGTGAAGGAGGCACCTGAACGAGCGGTTTAAAGCAAGAACTGAGCGACTGGGCTGCACCCCGTGAATCAAACCACTCCACTCTACCCTTGTCCTAATCTGTTTGTGTCCGCTTTTCTGCCAAAGCAGGGGGAGGCTGTCAGCCGGCGCACGCCCTGCCAGCTCGGGAGCCGCTCAGCTCTTGCCTGGACAAGTGCGGGCAGCTTTCGCGTAGCCGGGGGGACTCCAGCTCTGGTGTGTTCCTAAACAAAGCGCAGCCTACGGTTTGTTTTGTCTTTCAATGGAGTAAAAATACGGCACTTGGCAGAACATGTTCTGTAAACTGGTGACTTTTAACTTAAAATGCAGTGAGTGAAGTTGTGAGCTTGATGTCTTGAAAGTTCCTCTGAAAATACTGTTATTTTTTTAAGCTATTTTTTTTCCAGAGTTGATTTAATTCAAAGGAAGTTTTGTTTGCTTGCTTGCTTGCCTGAGGTTTTTTGGTAGGTTTAAATAGATGAGCTTGATTTCTTCTGCAGTTTATTTTGGTGAAAATTCTGTGGGATTTGGGGGAGATAGCACAGTGCAAATGGAGATAGACTTCAAAACTTTGGGATAGAGTTTGCAGACCCCAAAAGCCAATGCCTGTATTTTGTAGTGATTTTCCAAGCCTTTGAGCTGACATGAGCTTAGACTTTGCAAGGGAAGGGAAGGCCTGGCGTTTCTCTGGAGATCTTCACAAAGAGCTTTCCATCTCTTCGAAGGGCCTTGAGTCAACCCACCAGCCACCATTGCCCAGTGCTCGTGTGTGCTGTGCAAAGCCAGACTGGGAAGGTGCTTCCCATATTTGCATGGCTGACACTC